TTATAGATTTTATTAATATAATTATCACCAAATCTTAACCAGACAAGATTTGCAGATCACAGGCTTCCGGTTCTTTAAGGTTCATATTCAACTTGACCTCTCTTCTCTCATCGAACCACCGGACAGAAGTACTCACAGGATGTCAGAGCTAAAGGGAGATCATCTACCCCATCTGCGAAAGGCTGGGATGGCAGAAAGAAAACTATATTGCAGTGTGCTCATCTGAGAATGAAGCAAAACCAGTTTCCCTCTGAGAAAAAAACTCTGGGCTGTAAAAAGTGACTCATGGGTGGGTATGAGGCTCTGTACCTTGGAGGACCAGATTTTTTTTTTAATGCTCACCCTAGGATATGTTTATTGATTTGAGAGAAAGAAAACGGTGCGGGGGCAGGGGGTGGTGCTAAGGGAAAGAAAGAGAGAAACATCCATTGATGGGTTGCCTCCCGTATGCACCCCAACCGGGGACCGAACCCATAACCCAGGTATGTGCCTTGACTGGAAATCTAACCCACAACCTTTTGGGGTATGGGACAATGCTCCAACCAACCGAGCCACCTGGCCAGGGCTTGGAGGACCAGATTTTGATTACAATTTTGGCTATTGGGGGTATCAAACTGGGGAAGGAGGTGTTTGTGGGGAAAGGGGCGGTGGCAGACTCCAGAAGGTTCACTTACTGAGGACAAACATCATTCGATGTGTTCACTGGTTTGGGCTCACAGCAACAACCTGTTACGCGTCAAGACTTAAGTGTGGCAGAAGGCAGTCTGCCTCCCTTTCAGAGTAGCTTTTTATATGGCTACTTATTGGGAAGAGAAAAGGGTGAACCATCGTTTCTGTCAATCGAAAGTGATCACTTAAATGACACAGAGATATTAGTAATAAAAAAAAAAAAGTTACTTACTTTGGATAGTACAAATCAACCGCCCCTTTTCAACCTTTTCCCCAATCTTAAAATGCCTTCAAGCCTATTACGAAGTATGGAGTTCTATACAGCTTACAACTCTCAGGTTCTATCCTTGGCTATGTATTCATTTCTAATTTCTATTTCTGGCCATATCTACTCATTTCTATCTCTCTATACGCCACCTGGCAGATTTCAGCTACTCTATAAATCTGAGCTACACAGCTGATCCTGAGTCTTAAGATTCATACATAAACTGATGTTTCAGCCTTTACCCAAATACTCTAACTACTTTCTACGTGCATCTATCTGGTGATTACCATCTCCAAAGCTTGAAATAATCTCCCTCAGCTATTCCGCCGTAATTCTGTTCACTCATTTTCAAAATGTCAAGGTTACTTTTGACTTTTCCTTCTTCCTCTCCCATTCAGTTTAATTCATTCATTCTTAACATTATTTATATCCATTCTTTGTGTTTCTACAGACACCATGCTAATTCAGAATCTTTCTACTTCGTACAGGAACTAGATTATCACAATATTTCACAACTATTCCTCTTAACTGTGGTTTACTGCCACTAAGCCATATATCGTATCACCACCATATTACTATTTCTATAACAATTTTGATCATGGTCCTTGACTACTAAGATGAAGTCCGAAGTCTTCAACTTTCTAACATTTAACTTTATATTTTTAAGCCTCGTCTCCTCTCGCACTTCTATATAAATTCCTAGTTTAGCTCGTCTGGTCTACCTAACAGCTAACAAACACATGCTATGCATTTCCCACCTCCTGACATTGTGCTCCTCATTTTTTAAGGTTCATATTAAACTTCACCACTGCCCTGTTGCCCTAACTAGATAGAAAAACTAACTCTCAAGGAACGTTTGAGCTGAAGGTAGATCATCTACTCAATCTGCAAAACGAGCTTTAAAGAATCATTCCCTTCACCTACAAAATGAAAATGTTTGGGAAAACTGAGGCTACAGGACAATAAAAACACTTTCCCTTCTGAACATTAGTTTTTCCTCCAACATATTTTTCTTGCTTGGTTCCATTGCCAATGGCTGTGCCAGCCATGTGGGATTCGACGTTAGTGACCGACTGCATGTAAATTGTCACACAGTAATTACACTTTCATGACTGCTGCAAGAGGGAAGCACAGGCTGCCACTGAAGTCTGAGTCCCTCTGGCTGAGGGAGGGACAAGGCAAGAAGGGTATCAAGAGTGGGAAACTGGGAAGGAGTTAATTCAGTTGTGGAGGAGGAACGCTTCCCTGAGGAGGAAGTCTTTTCAGCAGGGGTAGTGGCAGAAGATTTCCACAGGTAGAAGGAAAGTTCAGAGATTGGCACTTTGAAAAGACTAAAAGGAGGTCCGGGAGCTGGAATCTAAGGGACGAGGAGTGGCGCCAGGGGAGGCTGCAGAGGCAGGGTGGGGGTGGCCAGGAGCGTGCTCCGTCTGCCCGGGAAGGTCCTGTTGAGGATTCCTGGGCTCTATTCTAAGAATAGCATGCCTTGTTCCAAGATACTTCAAGTCAGGACCACGAATTACCCCGGGAGAAATGAGAAAAGCAATTATGAAATGGGAAAGAATTCTAGTTTTATTTCCCTTGAAACATTTTCTGTATCCCTATTGCTATTTCCTTGTGTGATCTCATCCAAAGTCAAGTTTAAAAAAAGAAAGCGTAACAATTTATATAGTTATTTTCAGTTGGTCCACTTGGCTTTGACAAAAGGTTGTGTGTGTGTGTATACACAAACACACGTCTATGCACCTGTAAATATTTAAGGGAGCATTGGCTTGTTTTATATTTTTTAAAAGCAAAATATTCCATACACTAATTCAATGAAAAGCTCCAAATCACTGTTAGGCCATGCATTAGCGCTACACTTTAAGTTAAATGTTCCATTCTCCTGCCCATAAGACCTTTTTTTTTAAAAAAAAACAACAAACCAACTATTGCTTTTTAGTGAGAGAGGAAGTGAGGGCGGAGGGGAGATGAGCCACCACCTTGGTGTATTGGAACAACGCTCTAACCAAGTGAGCCACCCAGCCAGGGCCGTTAGACCTCAGTAAGGAAAAATATTTTAAGAGAACATCAACACATCTTTTTCAGAATTACTTTAACCCTAATTGCTTTTTAGCCTCATCTTCTCTACACTACGTAAAGGTTTCAAAACACAACCACAAATTTATTTCCTACAGTATTACATTTATATTAAGAACAAAATTTAAAGAAGGTAGGGTGACAAAACTTTCATCAGTAATAGAACAACCGGAATTTTGGAGCAATTTCTTTGTTCAAGGTATTGTGCTGGGCATCTTAAAATATATCTCATTTAATTCTAAGAAAGACTCTAAGGATGTATGCTATACTCTATTTTACAGATAGGGAAACTGAAGCTGAGAGATGCAAGCATTTTCCCAAAATCCGTACGCCTTAGACCTGCGTCATCCAATATGGTGGCTGGTAGCCACATGTGGCCATGCATTGAGCAGTTAAAATATGGCTAGTCTGAAGTAGGGTGGTCTGTAAGTGTAAGATATACGCTGGGTTTTTGAAATTTAGTATGAAAAAGAAAGTAAAACACATCAATAATTTTTGAATATTGATTACATGTTGAATGATTACATTTTAGATACAGTAGGTTAAAATAATTTCACTATTAAGTGAAAATGGAGAAGTAAAAAGCTACCAGATTCATACTTTAGAACAGCAGCAGAGGCCAAGAAAAGATCCCCTTCATTCCAGTTTAAAATTTAACAGAAGAAATAATGTACAAGTTTTTAGTTTAGCTATTACAGTGCACAGTCAATGAGTTAACTGGAGGGGGAGGGGTGGGGCTGGTCTTGGGGAGAGGATCGCCCCTTTGATCTCATATGTTGCATTAAAAATGCACTGCTGGTAATGAGCTTCTGAGCACCCCCTGAGTACACATGACTTGGTCCTTGCTCTTTCTCAATGAATAGACGGAAACTGACTTGTAATGTGATTCTGTCTACAGTACACCTACAACTATATTTCTGTGTCTTCCAATTTTGAGCAGAATTACGTGGGAAAAAATGAAATGACACTATATCAAAACTATTAGCAATTCTTAACTAATTATAAGAATTAATGTGTAATTAAACAGTAATTAGAAAAATTTGATAAAACTTTGAATGTTATTACACTTCTAATGCTTGAAATAAGAAAAAATACACTGAGTCCATTTAGAAAAAACAAACATTTTAAACTACTGAAACTACCAGTCATATTTCCAAAGTACATATTTTAGAAGTTTATATTATTAAAGAGCTTAGCTGCATTAATTTTAGGTAATATACTTAAAAAAAACAAAGAAATAGGTAATATACTTAAGTTACAGCTTTGAAGAAACTTCTTGTTTCCAGCAATGCCTTTTTTTTTTTTTTGAGGGGGAGGGTAAGGCAGCTAGATTTTTTTAGAAGTTAATATTCTCTCAGCCCCACTGAGCTGTTACGATGTCCTCAAATAATTTCATAATCTGCCTTTAAACTTTCGTCTTAATTGAAGAGTTCAATTTTAAAAACTCCTTGGCACTGTTCAGTCTTTTATGGGATGAGCAAGGTCTCTCTCCTCCCGATTTGACATTTTTCCTAACACACTATACAGGTGAGCAATTTTTGCTGTCAAATATTGCAGAGGTAGATTTCTTGTTGTTCAGTCTGAAAATGTCTCCACTATACTTGCACAGCTGCCCTCTTCCCATCACAAACCAATCCACCCTTCCACCCCCTCCCTGTAAGTTTTAAACTTTGTTTCCTTTGGGGTTCTGCACAAGCACAACTAATACTGTCCAAGAGACAAAGAGCTGTGCACTGGGTTCACGGGATGCCAAATTTGAGTTGTGAAACAAACAAAGCACCCAAATTTGAGATTCAAGATGATGATGATGGTGATGCTGGCAAAATGAAAAAATACTATAAAGCATAAAAACCCATAGGCATCTCCCTAGGCAGCTCCGCCTGCCCGCGGGCCACCCCAGAGCACAGAGAGGAAGAGGGAGAGCTGGCCCCGGGACGGTGGCTGCCCGACTGCACGGTGAAGCCCCTACCCGCGCCCCCAGCCCTCTCACCGCTTCACTCGGATGATCTGGTCCCGCATGGGCTTGATGTCCTGGAAGCTCTGCTGGTTGACGAGGCTGTAGACGAGGATGAAGCCCTGGCCGTTCTTAATGTACAGGTCCCGCATGGACGCGAACTGCTCAGTGCCCGCGGTGTCCAGGATTTCCAGCACCGACGGCGACGAGTCCACCTCGATCTCCTTGCGGTAGAAGTCCTCGATGGTGGGGTCGTATTTCTCGATGAAGGTGCCGGTCACGAACTGCACGGTCAGGGCGGATTTGCCGACCCCGCCCGAGCCCAGCACCACCACTTTGTACTCGCGCATCGTCCCTCCGCGGCCGTCGCCGCCGCCACCGCCCGCGACATAGACCTACGCCCGCCGCGCTGCGTCCCCGGACCCTGCCCCAGTGGCCGACCCCGCCGCCTTATGCGGCCTCCCCCACTTCACAGCCGCTGCAGCCCCCCGGGCGCCGGCGGAGGGAGCAGCGGGCATGGGCCAAGCCAAGCGGCAATGCGGCCCCGCGGGCGCGGGCAGGCACTGAGAGCGAACAGTGAGTGGGAGCCGCCGGAGCCGCCCGAGCCGCGGGCCCGCAATGCTGCCCGCCCCGCCCCTCGCGCCTCCACGCCCAGCTCCCCGCCTGCCGCCGCCGCCGCCGCCGCCGCCGCCGCCGCTTTCCCCGGCGCCAGAGCGCGCGCCCGAGCCCGAGCACCGCCGCAGCGCTGCCGGGGCGGGGCCGGCGGCCAGGGGCGGGGCTCCGACTGCTCAGCCCCGCCCCTCCTCCCCCGTCGCCTAGGCGACCGGCAGCGCGCGCTCCCGGGAGGCTCTGCGCCGCGCGTTAGCCTCGGTCCGCGTTTAGATAAACAACCACCTTGGCCACCAAACGACACCCTCGCCCGCACTCCAGAGCGAACGCCGGAGCCCGTGTCCTGAGCATGCGCAGTTCGTCTGCCGGAGACGGGAACCGCGTCAACCTGAGAATCCCACGCTCAGAATTTGGCAGAAACTAGATGTTAGAGGGACCAGAGCAATCTCACGCAATCGCTGAGGAGGGAAGTGAAAAGAAACAGACAAGGGCCAAAAAGACTTGGCATGAGGGTCTTGCCCGACACCACCCATTCTGTCACCGTTCCTGAGAGTTTTGATTTTATCTTGTATAAACAGAACGAGCAGCTTTGTGTAAGGGGCCGAACGTAAACACAACATGAACCTTTGTTTTAAGCGTCAGGACACTGAAGGAGAGGTGACAGGTCATTGCAATCCAGTGCCTGGGGCGAAGGCCAGAGACTGGCAGCCGGGCCCACTCCAGGGGATGTCGGGAGTCCGGCCACCTTCCCCCCCAAGCCCCGCCCTTCTTAAGTGCTCTAGTGAAATGGAGCTCTTCCCACGCACTGTCAGCTACAGACGCTTGGAAAACCGGGAGAGCGGAGCCCCGAACCGCAGTAGACTGCCCAGGGACACCTCATAGCAACAAACAGCTGGTAAACCTAGTAGGAAGCTGGAATTCATTCGAGCCAACCATTCCACGTCTCTGGACCCCATGATACCATTCCCGGCCAATAGAGAGTCGCTGCAGAGCACGTGACGCCCACCCACCAGCCAACGGGCAGAAACTCTAGTCGCAGGGTCAGCCAAGCCACCTCCCACTGTCTGGCGAGGCTGGGCGTTTGCTCTTGCGCGTGCTCTGGCAGCCAATCGCAGGTGAGCTGACCAATGACGAAGGCTTGAGCCGAGCCAACCAGAATGCGCGATTCTCTTGCCACCAAGGGCAGGTAGCATGGAGACGCCACCAGGGCTGGTGGAGTTCGGGCGGGGTCAGAGACCGAGGGACCGGTCGCTGCGCTTTATGTTGGCAAAGGAGCAAGATGTGTTTCAGGCGAGAGTGATGAATTCCGCTTTTAACTTGGTCTCCGTCATATTCTGCCCTAATGATGGGCATGAAAATAGTGCTGAAGGATGTGGACTGAATCGTGGGATGAATCGAGAAAACAGGGACTTTTGTCTTTAGAGTGAGACAGATTCCGGTGTTTAGGGAGGCATACTGCAGCAGTTGCACGGGTCCTCCGTGCGTACCTCTTAAAACGTTTTAAACAACTCAGTTTTAAAACTTGCCGTTCTGTGTCTCTGCAGCATTAAATCTTAGTTACAACACACTCCCTCCCACCCATAACGTCAAATTTCCAAGAAGTTACATCCCAACTATTTCTGGGTTATATTTTGTGATAACTGGTTATTGAATTTACCTTTCTTGCACTCTGTGCATCTCGAACTAGTCTACATCCATCCATTGCTATCTCATATTTCTTGGGAATAATAAGTTTCTATACTTCTAATATATGATCATACCTATTTTCTCCGCTTCCTCAGAAAGTCATCACATAGAGGGGATTTTGCTTTGAGTTCTTCAAAAAACCAGATGTTCTTTTATCCTCTTTTCTGTCAATTATCAAACAACTTCAAAGATGTACTCAGATTTCGCAGCACCTACAGCCTTGTTGCTCTATTATATTAGGATGGATAATTTACATTTGCATTATCTTGCTATAGTATAACACCAAATTTTTGTTTAAAATATTGGAGGCCAAGTGTCCTGTCGCAGTAAATGTAGTAAAATAAAACTCAGACATTATTTCTCGCTTACATATCATCAAAACAGGAGAGATTGTGTCTGAGCTGTCAGAATTAGCCATAAAGGCAGTTTGCAAAAGAATTAGAATCAGGAATATTTTAAGATAATTGAAACCAGAAAGGATCCGATATCTCATTCTAAAGTAATACTGTGAATAAGTGAATTAAAATTAAGAGAGCTCGCATAGATATGAAATAAAGCTTCGTGTCTGACCTTTTTTGGTAAAACTTGTATGCTTATTTGTGGTTACTTTAGCTTAGCCACAGCCTCACTTCAGAGAAAAAGACCATCTCTTTTAAGATTCAAGTTGTGCATTGTGGTGGTAAGAACTTCCTAGCCTTGTTGGGGGGTTTAATGTAGCCCAGAAGCACACACTTTCTGTTTAGTACCTGTGGGACTGAAAAACCATTCATTTTGCAAGGAATAACGGTCCAGTAACTTTTTTTTTTTAATTTTAGACATTTGCATTGGGATTCTGGGTCTAGAATGTTGTTAGCAGCTGGTTTCAGTTCCTAGGTCTCTAGAAGTTGAGAAGCTCTGAGTTGTAGTGCATCTGAATCTGATAGAAGTTTACACACACACACACACACACACACACACACACACACACACAGTGAGTTGCCTCCCTAGTCACTCCATTTGGCATAATAGAGAGTAAGAGAGCTTTCAGCCATTTCTCAGGCTGTTTTTCCTGACCTTTCATCAATGCTGACTTTCTTGATAAGGAAAAGTGTAGAGACTGCAGGTCTTAGGATAGCTGCACCTCACGTGTCTCATATTGACAGGCCTCGGTTCTCATTAGCTATGCTGCCATGAAAGCAGATTTTGGACCACTGAGAGGCAAAAGAAACATAAGTGGGAGCATATTTTCTCACACTTGATTTGAGGCTGCATGTGAAATGCTGTTTGAAGGATTAGCTACTATAAGAAAGGATGTCAGGACATGTAATTTTGTAGATTTGGGCGTGCCTGTCTCCTTATTCCTTAATCATTCCCAGCATGAACTATCTATTCTGAGAGTGACTTTAGAAATAAAAAATTATGTCTCTATTCATTTGTTTATGAGAAAGGCAAAGTAAAAATGAGGTAAAATTGAATTAAATGTTCCCCAAGAGCTGTACATCTACATGATAGTGAAGACTGAACCCTGAAGAGTGACGCTTTCGGGTCTCCCTAGCTTCTGAAGTGCATTGCTGGGAGGAAAAAGAAAGAAAAAACTTTATTTCTCCTCCTCCCGCTGAATCTGAGCATTATCTCACTTATGCCCAGATACCGACTATCACAGTTGCATTACCGTGGAAACCCAGCTCCTTTTTTGCTTCTGTGAAAGATGTTGGAAAGGTGGAATGAAATCTACTGTGTTCTGTGATGATCTGAGGGCAGCAAGAAGGAACATGCAAAGAAGTTAATATAAACACGTTAGTAGAGGGCGTTTGTAATATGGCCAGTGCTTCTTGGCTATAAAATCTGATTCCTATTGCTTCCTATTAAAGCCCACCTATCTCTGATTAACCATAAAGGAAAAGCTCAAGTCAAGTGCATTTAGCACCTATGAAATGCTGCTATGTTAATATATGAGAATGTTAATATAATGAGAATGGTTTGCAATTATAAAGACAGCAGAAAACATTTTCTTGGCCTCTGAGGTTCCTAATACAGTTCAGAAACACATATATATGAAGAGTGGGAAGGAAGGGACAAACTAATGTGTTTCTCTTTAGAAAATGTGATCTGTTGCCCTGACTGGTGTGGCTCAGTGGGTTGGATGTCCTCCCGAAAACTGAAAGGTTACAGGTTCGATTCCTGGTCAGGGCACATGCCTGGGTTGCAGACCAAGTCCCTGGTTGAGGGTGTGCGAGAAGCAACCGATGGATGTTTCACTCACACTTTGATGTTTCCCTCCCTCTCGTCCTCCCTTCCCTTCTCTCCAAAAATAATTAAATAAAATCTTTTTTAAAAAAGAAAATATGATATATCTCTGCGTTTTTGCAAAGAAAAGGAATTAGAATCAAGAAGTTGAGTACATAAAAAGTGAATGGAAGAAAACTTTGCTTGAAAAAGTGTTTCAATAGGCATTTTTAAGCAGAAAAGTTTTTCAAAAGGAAAAGGCTCAATGATGAAAATATCAGCAGAAAAAAGAAAAGGGCTGAAGAGCTTGAAGGTTCTAAAGAAAACTGAGGTTTAGTATGGTTCATGTAACATAGCCGAAAAGTGTGCACCGTGTTGCTTGCATAACCAGCAGTTTCCCATTCTTTTTGCAGGGGGTAAAAAAATGGAATGAATCAGGATTGACCATTAATGGCAGTGCTTTCCCCTCTGCCCACAGTTAGTCCAAAAGTAGGCACATGACTCAATTCTTGCCATTAGAACCAGAAAAAGGCTGCTGGGGCTGGGATTCTGACAAGATTAAGTAGATTTAAAAAATAATATATATTTATTTTTTAGAGAGAGGGAAAGGGAAGGAGAAAAAGAGGGAGAGAAATATTGATGCAAGAGAGAAGCATCGATCAGTTGCCTCATACAAGCCTGGACCTGTGACCCAAGCATGTGCCCTGACCGGGAATTGCATGGGGCACCTTTCACTTTGCAGGATGACCCCCAACCAACAGAGCCACACTAGTCAGGGCAAAAGTGAGTAGATCTTTTTGACATCACTTCCCTTGCTATCGGCTTTGTACTTTGAAGTATGAGAATGTGGTCACCATCTTTGGGCTGTGGCGCTTTGTGGCTGTGACTGAAAACTGATAAGCTCTGGGTGGTTAAGGAGAAGGGTGGAAAGAACATAGGTCCTGGGTGACAGCATGGAACTGTCAAACCGATACTAAAAATGCCCCCCTTTGTACTATGGCTAAGTAAATAGCTAGTCTA